TCTCTCTCTCTCTCTCTCTCTCTCTCTCTCTCTCTCTCTCTCTCTCTCTCTTTGTCTCATTCAAATACGGAGCTTTCAAGCACATCAGAACAAACGCGGAAACAGTCGTATAAAACCCCAAAAAACCCACAATTCTATTTCAGACAGGAAAAGCGAACAAACCACAGGTCTTGAAATAACCCTGTTACTCGAGCACGACGACTTTCTACTGCAGACGAGGAAATTCAAGAACAGATCGTCAGTGGGAGTGGGCAGCAGAGACCCGACGACCCAATTATCACAGAACCCAACGCGGACGTCTGCTGTCCTCTCCTATTAGTGACGTCATCAAGCAGAAGCCATCTTGAATGTCAAAGGATTCCAAGTAGTTCCGGGCAGGCCCGCCACGAGGTTCCTAGATTCGTTCATTGTGGATGGTGCGCAACAAAACTTGCCGGTTGACAAAAGTCATGCCTCGACTTCATTCGACACGGAAATTATCCAAGGACTCATGACCTTTGAACTGTAAGTTCCGATCTCATGTTCATATTTGTAGTAAATGAGTCTCTACAGTCCCAGGCTGCTGTTTGCCTCAGATACTCAAACATTCATAGCTCAACGAAAAAAGGCGCCATTATTCCCCTGCAGAACCATTAGACTTCGACAAAATCGCTTCGCAAAGAAATCGTAACGACAGACACCAAGCTCAACCCTACACTTTCGACACTCACAAACAGACTGCTGATTTGCGTTTTCAGGAAACGAAGGATGCAAGACAAGAAGAATCCTTTTTCTAAGCTGCCCGGGGCAGAAAGGTGGTGGGGTGGGGACGAGGGTGGAGAGTCGCTGAAAAGGAAGAGTGATGTGGCGCGTAGGGAGAAAGAAACGCATTAAAATTTACATAGCACTCCTGGAACAAGAAACGTTCAAGCGAACGATGTAGGAAAATGAGATTGATTTGAGCCAGATTGGTCGAAGAAATAAACCAAACCGGATAATATAGTAGGACTGCGGAACGCCGCAGCACTATGCTGGACGAATGGGTGAGCTTTTAAGTGGAGATTTTGCTGCTGGCGAGTCAGTGCAGTCAGGGCCATATTCCGCCAAGAACTGGACAAATTAATGCTTTTTACTGAAAAGATGCAGAAGAAAGGGATTGCCTGGAGTGTATTTTTTTTCTTCTAAACAGAAAAGAGATTTTGTGAGCCACCGACAGCAACGTTCCTCGTTTACTTGTCCATATAAACCATTCACTTAAGCTCTTTGGCCAAATACTTATGCCTTTACCTCGTAGAAAATTACTGTCCATTTGGTTTAATTGTCTGTTTGTTTGTTTGTTTGTTGCTTTCTTTCTTTCTTTCTCTGGTTGGTTGTTTGGTTGTGTGTTTGTTTTGGTTGGTTGGTTGATTGGCTGTTTGGTTGTTTGGTTGGTTTGGGATTTTTTTTATCCTCTGTTCGTGACTTGAGAGGTTTCTTAATGTATATTATTTGGTTTTTAGTTTCTTTATTTTATCAACCAATTAGGATTACCCCTTCATTCACATGCTGAGCCACACGAAGAAACAAATGTGATTTGACTCAACGGAGGACTTATTTTAATACATAGAAGTAGCGATTGATTTCGAAAAAAAAACCCAGAAGGAAATGTTAAGCACAAACAACTAATAGATGAATATAATAGAAAGTTATAATAATGAAGCTCACTTCTACAGCCCTTACCCTCTGGATTAAAAAGAAATATGAACGAGTAAATAATAGGTCAGATAGGCAGGTGCGTGAGTAAATAGCATTTGTAAAAACCTCTTTTACAAACATAAAAAGAACGATAAAGTATAACATATTGAGACATCTTTGCAGAATTTGGATGGCGCAATTGCATTCTAAATACAGTTTAAATTTCACTATAAAACTCACCATGACCGAATTTGCCATTATCATAAGCTTCTCTTCTTTGCCATCTTACTCATCATCCTTTTTCTTCTAAAAGTCCTCCTCCTCCCCTCCCTTCCCCCTCCTCTTCCTCCTCCTCTTCATTCCTCCTCTTCCTTCCTCTTCTTCCATCCTCCTCCTCCTCCTCCTTCTTTTTCATTAAAAAAAAAACTTCATCGACGTCATCATCGTCTCATTCATGTCTGATTCCGCCATTTCAACACAACTAGTCTAAAGTATTCAAAACCACCACCACCACCATCATCATCATCATCATCATTTTTTGGTAAGCAGGGTAGGAGAAAGAGTCTTGTTTTAATTTTAGACAAAAATAAAATAACAATATAAAATGTTTAAATTTGTTTAATAGATCATCATCATCATCATCATCATCATCATCATCATCATCATCATCATCATCATCATCATCATCATCATCATCATCATCATCATCATCCCACCACCATCGTTGTTCCTATCTTACCTCGTCTTGACTAGGGCTCCGATGACCAGTCACGTTTACGTCCTGAAAAGAAAACGAGGCATATAAACCAATTATGTACGTCAGTGGAGTTCAGACGTGGGTGAGTGACTCATTCATTATTCACAAGTTGACCAAACACCAAAACATACTCACACATTCATTTGAATGTAATCGATACCACAGTTAATTACAATAAAGTGGAAGTTCACTGGAAAATTTAGATATTATTCATTACTGCAAAAGTCCTCTTCCCCTCCCCCCTACCCTGTCTGCCTGTCTGTCTGTCTGTCTGTCTGTCTGTCTGTCTGTCTGTCTGTCTGTCTGTCTG